GGAAAATCTGTCCTTGTTGAATCTGATCACAAGCCATTAGAAGCAATATTCACGAAGCCGTTATCACAGGCGCCATCAAGGTTGCAAAAGATACTAATGCAACTCCAAGCTTACGATATAACCCTCGTATACAAGAAAGGGACTGAAATGTACCTGGCAGACGCGTTATCACGGGCATTTCCTRCTACCGTAGTAAACGAAGAGTTCGAGAAAGAAATGGATTCCGAAAAGTTCATACATCTAATGTCTACGGAGGGCTACGTGACGGATCGCAAGCTGAACGAGATTCAAAATGAAATAAACACAGATGAAACGACGCAAATATTGATCAATCAAATAAGGAATGGCTGGCCGGAGAATCGACATCTRGTACCATTGGAAATTCGAGAATATTACCCTTACAGACACGAATTAACTGAACAAGATGGACTTGTCTTTAAGGCTCACAATGTGCTTATTCCCGCGAAACTGAGATCAGAAACACTGGCTAAGTTACACCGCGCACACCAGGGCCTAAACAAGACAAAGCGCCTGGCACGCGAATGCATATTTTGGCCTGGGATGAGCAAAGAAATTGAGGATATGATATCGCAATGTCCCACATGCTTGGAGCAAAGGAGGACTAACTGTAAGGAACCATTACAACCACACGAGCTTCCCAAGCGGCCATGGCAAAGGGTCGCGACTGATCTATTTGAATGGAAGGGTAAACCTCACATAGTAATTGTTGATTACTACAGCCGTTTTCCTGAAATTGCTGAATTGCGTGACATGAAATCACGAACAGTCATCAACAAATGCAAATCTATATTCAGTAGACACGGAATTCCCGAAGAAATCGTATCAGACAACGGTCCACAATATGCGTCCCAAGAGTTCACTAAATTCGCATCAGACTACGGGTTTACTCACACTACAACAAGCCCCCACTACCCGCAATCGGGCGGGATGCACGMAAGAGCAGTACAAACAGCAAAGGCTATTCTGAATAAAACGCTGCTAAGTGGTCAAGACCCGTATCTGGCTCTGCTTGACTACAGGAACACTCCCATTAATGGAGTCACGCCATCACAAGCACTAATGGGCAGAAAATTACGCTCCGATATCCCGGCAAAACCTTCAACACTAACTCCTAAACTGATCGACCACCAGGAGTTCATCATGAAGAGGAAAGATGATCAGGTGACTCAGAAATTCTACTATGAYAGGTCAGCWAAACCCTTAGAGAGCCTAAAAAAAGGGGACACCGTAAGATTCAAGCAAACTCCTGAATCACCTATCTGGAAACCCGCTACAATTGTGGATTCTCACCATACCCCAAGGAGCTATATACTTCAAACAGCCGATGGTGCAGAATATCGAAGAAATAGAAAGCACATCATGAAAACCAAAGAGCTACCTACACCACTCTCTACAGAACCCGATTCAACACCGACGGAAAGTCTTGAACAAGATAAATTAGCTATAGAGAACAAACAGGATGACATGAGTCCTCCTACGAATACGGACGCATGTGTACCCACAACGCGGCGATCTGGAAGGATTGTCAAACCAGTGAAACGTTACGGATTTGACAACTAGCGAATTGTATGTTTAATTTTAGACATTCCTTGAACAATTGAACATTTATCTATTATCATGGGTTTGTTTATTATGACTTGATTACTACGTGATTTAACCATATCAAAACCGTATACTCAAATTTCATATTCTATCATCTCTTATTGGTAACCTTTAGAAAAAGAGAGATGTCATATATCTGATTGTTAATGTCATACTGATCACGTGACTGTACTCTGATATATAATRATCTAGTTTGTAAACAGTGATTCACGAACTGAAAAATGTTTGCAATAAGCTGTATTAGCTTCGTATTCAAATTGCCTATTGAAGATCACATGACATTCCTTTGACAATTGTTCTTTTATGACGAACATGTTGAGTTCTTGGCTTTCACGTGACGTCATCAAAAAACTAAAATCCAAAGTATACACTCTACGAAAGTGTTTTTTGAATATGTTGTGTATTCCATCTTAAACAATATACTAAATGTAGAGTTAATTGCTGTATGTTTTCATTTTATTTGAAATCAACGAGACCCACAATGCCCTTTTGTCTTGGAATGCACTATATTCGAAATGCAGTATTCAACCTTCTTGGAAATACCTGTATAGTTTTCGTTGTTTTTTCGGTGTATTCTCGACTTTCGCATCCCCATAATGCCTTGCGTTTTTGGGGGTAACCATTCAAAAAACTTTCCCAAATTGAAAAATTTCTTAATTGAATTTATACTATACCTGCTTTTTATCTGTACAATACTGATTATCAGTTTATTCCAAGTTATTTTTGCGTGTTCAGATCATGAAGAGTTTTGGTCTTACAGAAAATGTATTGACTTACGAAAAAATGTTTAAAATTTACCTTAAACGTCTTCAAGCTTCTATCTTTTTCAGTTTTTTTACTTCTTCATTTTATCTTTGGATACCAAACAAGGTATTGTCAACATTGTCTGATCAGCCTTTATCAAAATAAGTGGGGTTTTCCCCTCTGGTTACCCCCCAAAGACGCAAAGGATTATGGGGATGTGAAAGTCGATAATGGAAGTTTTGTTGTATACGAGTCTTGGGAAAATTTTCGATGATGTAAGTGAAAGCCAAAAATACAAATCGTCTGCATTCGGTACAGCAATATTCACCTTCCCTGTCTCGCGCATATCTAGCAACTGCACTGTTGACATTTTCCCTTAAAATCCTTTAATAATTCCTTTAGCACGTTATGCTTTTAGCTATTTATAAGATACATCTACAACCACTGGCTGTATAAATTAGACAAGCGAAGGTGATGCGTGTTCCAGCTGCAAATGAATACGCTATAGAAGCTGCAAAGTCCTCGAGAACCGTCTTCCAACTACATAGTGTATAGACCTCAACATTTTAAATTAATTTTACAAAATGCTTTTAAGCAAAATACTATATTCTTCGTTTGCACTTTACGTCATCGCGGCCATGTTGGTACCATTTAACAAAAGATTTCTCATTAGCATCCATTGTTAACGTTACCACAATGGCCGCCATGTTTTTGTCTTTTAACACTCTTTACTTGGGAATGCTTGCAATATGCACACGATGTCTCTACCATTCAAGTATTGTAATATTTGTGTAATCATAGAGTGATTTTATTTAACCCGAGAAAGAAAAATATATATAGTTAGTACTAGTTAATAAAAAAAAAAAAAAACACAAGAAAACTGACAAAGGATTTAGAGTCTACTACTAGCTCTACTAAGCCTATTATGCGTGCTATTTTGTCACGGGTTAAATAAAATAACTCTAGCTATAAGAACGGAGAGCAGCACTGGTCACATGTAAGAGTATCCATAACTACCCGGCACAGAACCAACACTGAATAATACATACATCTGATCACCAACAGGGGTGACAATCAAAGTCCAGCAAACATAATCTAGCTCGTTAGTGGATGCGCTTACATGGGCAGGGCACCTTCATCTGATTCATTTTAGTGTTTGGCCATAGAGCTTCCTTATGCCAATTAATGGGTCAAACAATGGCAAATCAATGGTCTCGTCTGAGTTAGAGCCTTATTAGAAACAACAAATTAGTCTACCTGAACTTTGTAGCATATTTGTACAAATATTATACATTATTGAAACAGTGTTTTTTCTCTTTTGAATACTCTCAGTACGCTCATATGCTCTAGAATTGATCTATGTATAATCGTTTGCATTGAAAATTTTACAGACACTAATCTACTTGGTTATTGTGAAGGTAGCACCAGAAACAACATTATTCCATGAAGCCAGCTATATTTTACTTTAATTAGCAATTCATTATTAAATTATCTTGACTTGCTTGGCCATATTTAGCCATAAATTATAGGTATATCCTCCTGAGATCACTGGGCGAGGTTATCATATTACACTGTGGACACAGCTTCTTTGCACCCTGCAAACAAAACACTGATATTAGTATGGTATTAGTGTGCTTAGAGATATGATCACCATATTGTGCCTTACCAGGGTACGCATCCAGCACTCTTCACAATGAACATGCCAACACGATATTGATACCAGAGGTACAGAATACGGCTCCTGAAATGACATCAACATGATTAGATCAACAACAACAACATTAATTCAATACAGCTATTTCAAGAAAATGTTGGTGAATGTATTGCTGCATGTTGTATACCAAGCCTGAAATACACCATGGGTGATGTAAATATTATCAGTGAAAGGTCACAACAATATGAGATTTTGTCAAACCTTGTCTGCATGTTTTTTCACCATATTTTCTTTAGTGCTGACATCATTTACATTGAACAAATAGAAAACGCGCGAGCATGCTGTGTGCAGTTATAACGCACGTGATCCCCAAGTGTTTTAAGACTTCACACAGCACAGCAAACAAGTTTTTTATTTCTCTTATAAGACACAAACTACAATAATGGTTATTTTAGATAGGAATGACGCAACTGAAAGTGTGTGCGTATGCTATGTGCTCTCATAAAGCACGCGCTCATAACCTATCAGAACGCGATATTTATAACAGTTATTTTATAAATAAGTATAATGTACTTCAAGTTTGATAAACAACATGCAACAAAACCTTCACCATCACTTTTTGAAATGGCTGTATTTCAACACTGTATTATGATGTTAAAAAAATTTTAACAAACAAGAATACTTACCATACAGATAAGGCATTTGACCTTTTCCATTGCTGTATGTTTTTCCTGCGGCAAGACAGACCAATAAAACATTAATCATATTGGATAGAGAAAACTGGTCACAGTAGAATGGGAGTACAAGGTAGCACTGTTGTAGCCAGGAGGCACTAAAATGCCTGTGACTTTCCTTTTCATTGGGTAAGAAAAAATACATTGCTTCAAGGGTAGTTGGTGGGGAGCAATGATATAATGGAAAGTGTACACCCATTAGCCACACCCACGCTTGAATAAGGAAAGTTCACTCTTTGAGTTTTAGAAGATACAGCACCCATGCCACTAGATACAGCACCCATGCCACTAGATACAGCACCCATGCCACTAGATACAGCACCCATGCAGCTAGATACAGCACCCATGCGGCTAGATACCACACGCATGCCACTAGATACCACACCCATGCCACTAGATACCACACCCATGCCACTAGATACCACACCCATGCCACTAGATACCACACCCATGCCACTAGATACAGCACCCATGCCACTAGATACAGCACCCATGCCACTAGATACAGCACCCATGCCACTAGATACCACACCCATGCCACTAGATACCGCACCCATGCCACTAGATACCACACCCATGCCACTAGATACCGCACCCATGCCACTAGATACCGCACCCATGCCACTAGATACCGCACCCATGCCACTAGATACCGCACCCATGCCANACCCATGCCACTAGATACCGCACCCATGCCACTAGATACCGCACCCATGCCACTAGATACCGCACCCATGCCACTAGATACCGCACCCATGCCACAAAAAAAGGTGACTTACCAAATCCTTGACTCTACTTTTGAGTGAGTTAATAACAAGACGCTGATTAGACCTGCAACATGTACAACGTTTAGAGAACATTAATCAAACTAATCTTGATTCTTATCCCACCAAACGATTATAATAATGGTCAATTAACCATATGATATTTACCTTTAATTACATGATTGATATTCATAATTTATTAGATTAATACATTATCACATACATTTAATTCCAAAATGGCGCACAGCTGGGTGAAAATGAGGCATCTAGGGCCAAATTTACAAATTACAGTATTTTCTTATGATTTAATGCTTATAATCTGCAAATTTGTTCTCTTCCTGAATGTAAGATGGAAATAAAGACAGAGCAAGTGCTTACTTTGCATTGACACCATATTATTTTTTTGCATTTGGCCCTGGATGCCTCCTTTTCACGTAGCTCACTCGGCCATGTGCTATTTTGGACTTTGGTGTATTCTTGTAATCAGTTATCACATTTAAAATAGCTTTTCTGTGTAAATTAGTTCTGAAAACCACGTTTTGGAAACAATGTATAAAGTATTTAAAATATTGTATTGAATTGGATATGTGCTATATAAATGCACTATATTATTATTATTATCATTATTATTAATAGGACTTTGCACGATGGTGTCATTGACCTCTACTCCCAGACTCCCTTGCACACTTTCTTTTGTTCAGTTAATTAGCACCAATTGTCTTACTATTCTCATGAGAAAATACAAAACCCAACAAGTAAGAAAATTTGCGAAGTATCTTGGTCGTGGGAGTCAAATGACTCCATTATTCAAACGTCCTATTGTATCATTATATTGTATAGAAATTTGATAATATTACAAGTTTTTTCAGCTTGTGAATGTTTTTCATTCCAGGCCATAAGCCATTGTATTTGGTGGTAAACAAAGGAATAATACTCAAGGAAATGATGTGAATGCTAAATAGGTTTAATACCTACCCTTCTTCAATGTCTTCCTTCTCATCTTTGGAAGATGTTTTCTCATCTGATGAGTGATTAGCATCTGAAGACACAATATGATGGGAAAATCAAATAAATGCTCAGTCACTTTGACAAGAATAACTAATAATGGATGGTGATCTTGAAGTGCCTAAGAATCTACTAACATAGTGTAACAGTTGATAGGAATGCTGCTTATGTTGCAAATAATGAGCATCTGCATATTCATACTCAAGTGCTATAGTTTCATCTACGACTCCTGTCTACAACTAATAATCCAGGGTTTAAGTTTATGATTTTTCAATAGCAGTATGCAAGCCTTTTGGAAAAATGGTGCAGTCGATAATGACTTGACACAGTACCACTGACAGGCTTTGGACAAGAACTATGGATCCAAAGAAACTGTCTTTGTTTTCTTTAGAGCAATAAGTAACTATCCTAACATTTGGGTTATTACCTCCTTCGTCTTCAGACCAGCGACTTCTTGTAGGTGTACTTCTGGAAGCAGGAGAGTTCTCACCACTGAAAATCACATAACAACAAATATTCTTACACTTGAGATTGCATCGCCACACTCTAGTACCTGCAGTGGGTAAGGCAGGACAGGAGGGGAAAACAGTCAAAAAAACACCTATGACCAAGAAATATTGGTGCAAGGAAACTTCTGGGACTCAAGGTATTCTTACTATTTTAAGTCGTATAATGTTGTTGGATGACAAATAATTGGCAATACCTTAAAACTGCTCCTCTTAGGGCCTGTCGTGCACGATCTTCTGCAGGTTCATCTGCACTACAGGGTATGATATCACTTTCACTGTATCTAGACAGCACGGTTAAGGGTAAAAACATGTGGCATCAAGACCACACAGTTTACTACAGGCATGCATCAAACAGTTTGTACAAGAGCCATGTAAATAAACAAGCACCTTCATTTATACTTGTCCTACTCAGTTAATAAATAAGCATTGTAAAGGATACTGAGCTTTGCCATATTCTTCTGAGTCATCACCATCGATATTCAAGTCACCATCATCTTCTGCATTCTTTCTCTTGATACCAGTTTGGAACCCTGAAGCTGGAACAAACAAGAATTTTGATGATGACAAAAGGAAAAAAAACCCAGTCCTTATAACAGGCAATATTATCAGCAACAACAACAACAGCAGCAGCAACAACGGTGGCAGCAACAAGAACAGCAGCAACAACATTAATCAAAGCAACAGCAGAAGTAGCATAATCAGCAGCAGCAACCAAAACAGCAACAGCAGCAGCAGCAACAGCAGTAGCAACAACAACAACTGCAGCAGC